GACAAATTTCTCCTTTGGTTTTCTTCTTGTTCTTTGCCATAACGCCCATTCTGGGACGAGTTGGAAGAGGAATTCCTAATTCTTACACGGATGAGACTGATCACACCTGATCAGTGAAAAATTCTGACACCAATCATTTACATATTACACCAAGAATTGACAAGCGGATAAGTTTTCTAGTTTGCTATGTTGATATAGCTTAGATAGGGAAAAGATAACTCCACTATAGAGTAGGGCTGTACTTCAAAAATCAAAAAGGGTCCCTCTCCCCCTTTTTTTATTAAAAAATCAAAAAAGAGGCCCCGCCCCCCAAGGCCTAAGGAAAAAACCTCTGATAAAGAAAGAAAAAATATAGAACTAACCTTTACACTATAACCATTAAGTCAAGTTATTAACAATCCTATACTAAGAGGAGAATTCGGATCAGCTCGGGCGGAAGAGGAGAGGCGAAGAAGAAGACAATAAGCACTCAGATTGGACCAACCTTTCATTTAAGGTTCGTCATTATCTTTTCAATCCTGACTAGAATCAGGCTTCTCTTGAAAAAAGGTAAGGAGTTATTCGATCTAATATGGTATTAACCCTAGCGCCTAAGTCACCCCCGCAAGGTAGGAAGAAGATAAAGGAGAAAGTGAACGGAGGAAAAAAAGGCGATAAGCGAACCGGCGGGCGGTAAAAACCACAAAGAATTTATATAGAAAAATAGGTACTACCAATATGAAATTAAGAAAGACATATATACCTGAAACAAAATTCTGTAATGACTATGTGACCATGAAGGGAGTAGTTGATTCGCGTTCCAATTCATTGGCAAAATCCGGTATAAATATAATAATATAACGGGATCGTCGTCTTGACAAAGATGAATAGAAAGAGTGCTTTTGTTTTTTTAATGGTAACAATTCTTATTGTTTTTTTTCTTCGAAGGAAGATCTTTCTTTGACTAAAAAGGTTTCCATTTTTAATAGATTGTTTGTGGTTGTACCTTTACTGCAAGAATATAAATGACTCGCTATTCACTCGAGGTTTCTGGGTCATAATGTAGGAGAGATGGCCGAGTGGTTTAAGGCGTAGCATTGGAACTGCTATGTAGGCTTTTGTTTACCGAGGGTTCGAATCCCTCTCTTTCCGTACCTTTACCTAATTCACCAACGTTACCGACCGCGCCATGTATAAAATACCAATCGAGACCTCTAAGACGAACTAAAGGGATGTCTCTAAGCAGCCAAGGCCAAGAGCAAGCAGGAGTGGTCCTATCCGCCCATTCATTTTTAAGTGACTTATAAGACGTGAGAGATACTCTAAAGTCATAACGGGGAAGGCCAGAGACTTCGTTCAAATGGGGGGAGGTTTTCTCTTCAATAAAATGAAAGGCAGGTATTTTTATACGAAAATTGAGAATTCAATAAGAAATGTTCACTTGAGATTAGGTTCGCGAAGAAGAAGATCACAAATGAGATCTTGAGCTTGAAGCTTACTCTCCAGAATCGAAAGATCTCTTATCCCCGAGGCGAGGATGGCTTCATAAACTTTTTTTGCCGAAGGAAAGATAGATAAGGGGTTTCATCCATATTTTTCTCCCATTTACGTATCACGTTCAGAGATTTTAATTCGTTGTCCGCTCTTTCCGTACCTTTACTTACCGACCAAATACCAAGACTACTTACAACAGGTGAGGATCAGCACACTGCGGGAATCTAAGGAATTGATTGCTGTGCATCGACCAATCTGAGAAAGGGAACTATAAAAGAAGGTGAAGATGCACCGAGGGATTTATGAAGACGCATGGTATGCTGTGGAGAAAGGGTGAAAGGAGTAGAAGCGGCAGGGCAAGAAAAGGATAGTGATAAATGGACAGACGCTGAGAAGAAGAAGTCGAAAGTATAACAGCAAAGCACTGTCAGCAATCGCAAGTGACACATTCAAGGGTGAATCATCCAAAGATGCTTGGGATATCCTACAGAAGGGTTGACAAGTGTAAAGAGATCTCGTATTGATATGCTGCTGGCTTCACGGAGGAAAGAGAGACCATTGAACAATTCATCTGTGCTTTGCCAATGCTGCTCAAAATGAAAGACAAAGACAAAAGTCAAAAAGCTTCTGTTCTGTAGCACACTCCCGGCGAAGCAGCCCTTCGCAAGCCATGAATGACACAGATACCCTTGCGTTTGATGTTGTTGTAGGTCACCTACAAGCGTATGAAATGGAGACTGAGAAGTCCGAGAAAAAGCATTGCTGCAGCACACACTAAGACAACAAGAGAGATATTGAAGATTCAATCGGCAGCACACTGCTTGCTAGAAACTTTGGCAAAGTAGTAAAGAAGAATGGACAAAGTAGGAAAAACCCTTTTACACAGAACACAACAACAAATCGTGATCGTGTGTCAAAGAAGGGAGAACAACAGTGTAGGGATATGGCAAAGCTGAGCACTGCCCTTTTTTAGAGAAGAGACTTCAAATGTTTTTAATGCAAAGGTTGCTTCGCTAGGGGCACACAAAAGCTGAATGTGTGAATACTCCCTTATTGGTTTGCTTGGAGCGAGAGCGAAACAGACGAGGATGATGATGCAGAGGAAGTCTCTGGATTCGTAGCATTTGTGATAAAGATGAGACGCTTCATTCGGACAATTGCTTTGCTAGTGAAACAAATTTGCTGCTTTACTCAAGCCCACACCCTCAAGGGGTTACTTCGTCACCTCCGTCAAACCCGCGTCAAAGCCCCTCGTCAAAGACCTACGTCAAAGTAGGTTGCTTCGCCACCTCCGTCAAACCTCCGTCAAAGGAGGCTGCGGGAGGCTACGGGGCTGCGGGAGGCTGCGGGAGGCTACGGGGCTGCGGGAGGCTGCGGGGGCTACTTCGCTGGGAGTGTGCGCTTGTGCTGAAGAAAGAAAGCAGGTCCAGGTTCAAAGCGTAAAACGGTGAAACCAAAGGCTTCTTCAACTCGAAGAAAAAGCAGGAACGGAAAGAACTTTACTTCCTGGTGAAGCAATTTTCAGGATAGAATTCTGCCAGCTTAGGAATCTGAACATAAGCAGTAGAGCGAGGGCATAGATTACTCTGGTCATGCCACCCCAGCAATTCCAAGAATTAATGCAAGCAAAGCATAGGAGTGTGATTTGTCGTTTACCTTCTTTTGCTCTTAGGAATAAAGGTAAAAAGAAAAGCAGTGTGCTGGACAGCACCTTTCCTACGTTTGAAAACGAATTGCCGGTACTCCACTTAGACTTCTGCACCTGACCTAGTGGCTGAAGAAGGATCTCCCTCAAGTGATTTGCTGCTTCCTCCCCGACGTAGGTTTGACGGAGGTATCAGTCTCGTTGCTAAAGCACCTTCGGACCTCTTTTTTCGTCTATTCTTTGGTTAAAGCTAAAAATATTTCTTTTCATTTTGGATCATTCAGTAGCTCAGACTGGAACTTGAGAGCTATAACCTTTTTTCCTTAATTTCTTCCGTTGCCGTATCTTGCATATATAAGATCGAGATATCTCTAGTATTCATAATCCAGGATTTCGCCATACTCTTACACCTTACCCAGATCTTATAACTTATAATAAGATCATCTAGGCTAGGACGAGGCAGACTACCATCAATAAAAGAGCGCTTCAGTCAACATATACAAAGTCCAGCATAGTTAGATCCATTAAGAGTTGAGCCAGACCCGGATGATCACCGAAGATAATAAGGGCTAGAAACATTATCTGGTGAATCTGAGACAACGAAGCTGCGATCGGCAACACAAACCATTGGAGTGTGCTGGGGAGGATCTGAGCTGTAGAAACCCTTGATCCACTAGGTAAGGTTACTTCCAGAGCGGAGTATGCTCAGGTGAAACTGGTGGTGATGCCGATCTCTTCTTTCTCGATTTCTAGTTCCGTTTCGCCATTGTTGAGGAAAAAAAGTGATCCGAGACTCAACAAATCGAAGAGAAAAGGAAAACTTTGTTGATTCAGGAACTGTGAAACGGAAAGTCTCACCAGAAAGTCATTGCACTCTCTTTGAAGAGGGTCTTCCCTTTGTAAGCAAAGGTAATAAATGCTCAATGAGGAAAGATTATTAATTTCTTCTTTCATTTCGGCTTAACATCTCTTAATAATTGTTTCCCTGTTTTTAATACAAAATTTGAGGTGAAGCCTTCTCTAATGCTACGTGTCTTCATCTTAGCAGATCTCTAAAGCTTGGAGCGTATGGTAACGGTTAGAAGTGGGATTTGAGCCGCTGTACTGTGGCAGAGAATGACGTCGCTGTACGTTCATGGCTTCAGCTCTGGTTTTGTTTTAAGTGATAAATAAGACAGAGGAGACTTTGGGCTTCGGTTTGTAGACAAAACTCGTCTTGGGCTTATGTCTTGTAGTCATAGGAGAGCTGAGCCTTGTGTTGGCCCAGTTTTGGTTCATTTAGTGAAACAGTGTCGTTTTGAGTTGTAACCGGAAATATCTCCTTCTTCCTTTGACTGTCGATCTCGGTGTGGGTGGCTTAACGAGATGTTAGGGCTAATGTTAGTATGTAGTGATGTGCTGTTGAAGGTAGATACACTTTATACCTTCTTCCTGAAGCAGACGAAGCGAGCTGGAACGTACAAGGAAAGAGAAGATGCCTCCTAATCTACTTATGGATGTCAGAGTTGATGGTCGAGCATAGGTCCATTAGCGGATGGAAAGAAGATTCTGCTTAGCGACACTGCAGAGTCAGATCGGCCCCTACTAATGAGAAGGCCTTGAAGGAAGTGAAGATTGAGGCTTTCAGGGTTTAGTTAAGACTTTGCCGGTGACTCTTTTCCTCTCGCTTCGTAAAAAGAAAACTCTTCCATACTAAGATTAATGAGATTTTCCGGTATACTTCCCAGTCGACTATGTGAACAGCACAAAGCAAAGTTTTACCCTTTAGTGTCCAATGATATCAATGGTATCTTTCTGTTTGTTACCAAACAGGAGGGAAGCTTTATGGTTTCGTAGGTTTTCTTCTACTTTTTCTTCTACTTTAGGGTTTGATAGAATCGTCCGCTATTACAGACTTTGATTATCTGTGGGGCAGTGCGTTAGACGAAGGAAGTAGCATCTAATCTAAGGAAGATGAAGACCGGATATTAAAAGGAATATTTTACAAAGCAGAAGCATTACAAGCATACATAAAATAGGAAGCCTACACACACCGTAGACCAGCCACACACCATTAAAAAGTTCACTAATAACATAGTACGTGAACCATAGAAATAGAAAAAAAGAGAACAAAGAAAGCCATGCATTTGGGTCGACGGACTCCTTATTTAAATATTAGAAGAGAGTGGTTCTAGTGGCGCTGGCGACCGTGTTCGATAGCACACACAATTAGGAAGTTCTGCTCCTGCAGGAGACCAGAAATCCTTTGTTGCAGACCGCGAATGCGGTCCCGTAAGACTTGCATCCTTGCACCCACAAACTCTGGATCCAGAGCAGGCGGGTGCTCCCAGAACAACCCAAGCATTTCCTCCCAGTGGAGCTTTGCGTTTTCCGCGGCTTGGATTTCTTGTGGAAGGATCGCCAGTCTGTTATAGATCTCCATATCATCCATCTCTCTTAACTTTCTTTCCGACTTCTACTTTGTCGGATAGAGAGAAGCTTCTATTTATAGGCCCTAGCGAAGCAGCCCTTTATTATTAGTATTATTATCTTAACTTAATTAGTATTCTTACGTAACACGATTCCCGGAAAAAAAGATGGAACAACCTTAAATTTAGTACGCTGAATAATTAAGTACGCTGAATAATTTTCCCCTGGATAAAGGCCCCGCCCCTAAAAATAAAAGAGTCCTTTTTGGCGGGTATTGCCACGCGGCTTAATTACGACCACTCCCTCGGGAATAAGAGGCAATAATAGAACGCACTGTATAGAGTACTCCCCCGCTTTTCTCGGGTTTCCAAAGGCCCGTCACTCCTTACTCGACAGCTCAAAGCTGACCAGAGTCCTCGTTTACCCTACGTGCACTATTTAGCTCTGCCTACTCAGATCACGCTTTTATTTGTCTATTTTTTATTGGCTGATTCCCAGGTACATAACTGACTTCGGCCAATCCTTACTCGACAGCTCCGTCCTTTCTTAGGTGAGCTAAGACCGAAGCTAGCTCTCTTGAATTTCCCCGGAAAGACGGAACCTTTCCAGCTCACTCTGTCAGTCCACTAAGACGCGTATAGAGTAAATGAGCACTAGCAATAACTTTTTCAGTACAATAAGTCCCCTTCTCCACGACCACTTTTGTTTTTGGGCTTTCTTGGATTCGTTTCCCCAGTAATTCCATTTTGGACTCGGAGGCTTTTCCATTGGGCTCAGTATCATAATTATCCCAAAAGCCCCCTCTCCTCTAGCTTGCTTCTTTAAAAAACAAAGCACACTGCTTGTTAATGGGCTTATATGGATCAAAGCATTAGATAGAATGCTAAGTCCAATTCCTCAATATTCTTCTTCTTCAGTGGCCCAAGCAAGATCATCTATCAGAGAGGATAGGGTCCAAGGTCTGACTCTTAGATATATCCCCTACTACGAGTTACTCCGTACCTCTGCCTATTACTGAACAATTACCTAATGAGTGCGGGTAGCATCAGACAAGGTGAGCAAAGAGAGGTCTCAAAAAGTAAAAAGACGGGTTTTACTTTTTGACACAGTTTTGCCCTCGTATCTAGAAAAGGATAATTTACGGAAATAGTAAAAGATAGGACCTCCTAACTTTCCTGCTACGAGTGATTAAAGACGGGGTTTACTCTAAAAAACGTCAAAATATTGTACGGGATTCCATTCCCCGGTTGGTTTGTTTAATCAAACAAGAGAAAGCACCTCTTTTCCAAAGGCAGACTCGGCTGTAAACAGAACAGAATTATTACTAAAAGGATGTTAATGACTTATGGCTCCTGTCTTACTTTTCTGATAGGGAAACGGAAATCCATAACTAGGGATCCTCCTACGTGGACATAAAGGGATTGGAGACAGAGAAAGTGATTGTGCTAATACTATAATGGTTCGCTAGTTGCTCTCCCTTGTTCTCTAGGTTCGGTAACCTGGGTAAAGGCTGCCTTGCTTCCCGTTGTGGAATCTTTTCTAATCCTTTTGGCCGCTTCTTTCCACTCGGACCATAGGGAAGTCAGAACGGAAACCAACAAAGGACAACACAAACAGTCTATCGGCAGGAGCAGAGCGGCTACGCAAACCGCTTGGCTATTCATATTCCGACCTGAGGAGGAAGACTCTCGCAGCTACTCAGGGTATTGAGCTACTACTAGGAACGGCTCCGGAGCTTTAACCAAAGGAGAGAAAAGTACCTACACCGGTTTATACAACACCGGTTCACAGACTCAACTATACAATTCATCACAATCACAGATGCAACTATACAATTCATCACATTACATCACAAAATTCCCCCGGGATCAAATAGAGATCAAACCCATCTTACTTACCAAGTTGTGGAAAGGAGTTGGATGTAATGCCTTTGTGAGAACATCTGCAATTTGTAGATCAGTTCGGAGAGAAGCTTGAATAGACCTGCAACCAACTTCTAACACACAGTCGATCTCTATATGTTTAGTACGCTGAAAACAGGATAGCAAGATGTCTGGCAGCAGTGTTATCACAAAAGGGAGGAGCAGAAGAACTCATTTGAATGCCAAGTTCCTGCAAGAAATTTGTGAGCCAAACCATTTCACTTACAGCAGATGCAAGGCTTCGATATTCTGCCTCTGCAGAAGACCTGGAGACAGTATGCTCTTTCTTAGAGCGCCAAGAAACCAGAGAGGAACCAATGAACAGAAGCCAGTTACAGAGCGCCGTGTGTCGGGACAAGAAACCCAGTCAGAATCAGCAAAAGCCTTGAGCTGAAGATCAGATGTAGCAGAATAAAAAAGACCCTGCCCAACTGTCCCTTTCACATAGTGTAAAACCTTGTAAACTGCCTGACTCTCGTAAGCAATTCTGACCTTTCTGGACCTTACTTCGTTCCTGCGCTTTCATCAGCTGACTGAACCATCCAAATTCTGCTTTTTAGAGCTGTTCAGATAAACGAAAGGACCGAAAGCTTCTAGCTAGAAACTTAATGTCATTATGTTAGCGATTCTACCTACCGTACCCATTACACTAGAAGAAGATAGGCAAACTACCTTGACCAAGCAAAAGCAAATGAAGAAAGGAAGAGACGAAAGTGACTCGAGCAAAGCGAGAGGGATGAAATGAATAAAGGGTTATCTTGGATTCCGACTTGGAAGCTTGAATAGTGATAGGATAAGACAACTCAACTAGATTTCACGTCTTTTCTTGAGAGTGCCTTTGCCGAAAATATAATATATACTTTCACTTAGGGATAGGGAGGGGTATGCTCTTATAGGGATAGAGCACTATGTAAGAGGTCTCGACGAGCCTCCACCATACTAAGCTAAGGTCTACTAGCTATAGTAGCTAGATGGGAATGTAGCCTAGCAGCTAGTAGCTCTCTTCTTATAGCTCGGTAGTTGGATCTTTCATAATTCCTTTATGGTTAGAGCACACCGGGATAGAAGAATAGATGAGTTTGTATCTTTCTTCCTACTTTTTATCGGAAAACAGAGCTAGAACAAGGAACAAGCAACACTAGCACTTAAAATAAGGTAGGCGGCTAAAACAATTGGGCATTTCCTTGATGTCCGGAAATGGTATATCTGAAAACAGAAGAAAGACTTTCTCTTGAACCAAAACTAAAGATGATCCGATCCGTGCACCGCTTTTCTTCTCTACCCTTTAGAATCCAAGGAAAAGGCAAAGAGAAAGAGGTTGCAGAGGGCACCTAACCTTCCAAAGACACAGCAGCTCTAGCCTAACTTCGGATTCGAAACCATACTTCCCTGACTTCCTCTCAACAAGAAGTTAAGGCTGAAAGTCCTAATCTTCTTATCCCGATGCCTGGAGTAGCGGGTCTTAGTTCGGATTAGTACCTTTTGAGCAAGGTAAGTTTCGGCAGTGAAAGAAAGTAACCAGGATCCGCTTAACCAGTTATGGATGAAGGTAGGTCTACTCCAATCCCTCAGCCAATAAACAATAAAGTAGGCACATTTCCCTCGGCAAAGAAAGTAGTCCCTCGCTAAAGAGTAGACTTGAGTATCTTCGAAGTCAAAGCCGAGGAATAAGACTCAGTTCGGGTAGAGCAACCATTTATATTTTCATTCTTCCCCGTTTACATAAATGAAAAAGAAAAGTGAATTCCCACGGAAAATATCCACCTAAAAAAATTTCTGGGGTTACTTGGCATAGTCCTCTAAAGACCCTATTTAGATACTCTTTCTTCCGAGTTCGAGATAAGGAGGAAGAATGGGGCGACAGATAAAATGAAATAAAGAGCAAAAATGCTTGACTTTCATTTTATTAAATATAATGGTAGGTAGGGCTTCTTTTAGGTCATAAAGGGAATAGTACTTTTAGCTCGTTCATCTAATTCTGCTGGTCTATAGGAGTGGCTCCCAGGGCTATGTGATAGCACCCAAAATACGACGGCCTGATCAAGAGAGCCAGAAGCTGGGTCCGCCCGCCGGAGCTTCTTTCAATTTCCGGGGGGCTTAGCTTGAACCACTCCCAAGTGCCAAGAACCGGCGAATGAAGGCTCCGTGGCGGCATCGGAGCTGCCAATAAGCTAATCCGTTCCCAGTGAGCTATTACGCGCTCTTTCAAGGGTGGCTGCTTCTAGGCAAACCTCCTTGGCTGTCTCTGCACCCCTACCTCCTTTATCACTGAGCGGCCATTTGGGGGCCTTAGCTGGTGATCCGGGCTGTTTCCCTCTCCTAGAGAAAGAAGTTCTCTAGTCACTAAAGTGCGTTTCACTCTCGTTCCTCTCGTTTTACTCGGGTTGCTAAAGCACCTCTCCTCTGCCAAGCTCTCTGTCTTGGTTAATGGTTATCCAAAAGGATATTTCTCATGTTAGGCGGTGTGAGACAGGGGGATCCTTTATCCCCCGTTGTTATTTTGTATTGCGGAAGATGTCTTATCACGGGGTCTTACCGGGCTTAATCACCTGGGCATTATTTCTTCAATTACCGAGACCTGTACATACAAAGATCTAGGCAGCTCATCTTCTTCTAACGAAGTCAGATCTTTTTCCATACCATAACATATATAGAATCGATTTTCTTTTCTGATCGCTAGCCTGCCGGGCCGCCCCCGCGATCAAACTATCAATCTCATAAGAGAAGAAATCTCTATGCCCCCTTTTTAGTTTTTTCTCCCATGCTTTTGCTGGTCAACAACCAACCACAACTTTCTATAGTTCTTCACTACTACTAGAGGCTTGACGGAGTGAAGCTGTCTGGAGGGAATCATTTTGTTGAAATCAATTAATCTAATCATGCCTCAACTGGATAAATTCACTTATTTTTCACAATTCTTCTGGTTATGCCTTTTCTTCTTTACTTTCTATATTTTCATATGCAATGATGGAGATGGAGTACTTGGGATCAGCAGAATTCTAAAACTACGGAACCAACTGCTTTCACACCGGGGGAAGACCATCCGGAGCAAGGACCCCAACAGTTTGGAAGATCTCTTGAGAAAGGGTTTTAGCACTGGTGTATCCTATATGTACGCTAGTTTATTCGAAGTATCCCAATGGTGTAAGGCCGTCGACTTATTGGGAAAAAGGAGGAAAATCACTTTGATCTCTTGTTTCGGAGAAATAAGTGGCTCACGAGGAATGGAAAGAAACATATTATATAATATATCGAAGTCCTCTCCTTCAAATACTGGAAGGTGGATCACTTGTAGGAATTGTAGGAATGACATAATGCTAATCCATGTTGTACATGGCCAAGGAAGCATAAAATGATTCTTTCATTCTATAGATACCTCTGGTAGGTAAAGCACTCGACTGTGCTTTATTGAAAGTTCCCATCGCGGGGGCGAGGATACTTGCCTTCGCGGTTCGACTTTCTTTTCAGGCTTGACTCATTATTTTCCTAGGTATAGGTCCTCTCCTCCACTTTAGAGCTCTTTATGATGCCCGCTGAGTAAGATTCGGGGGCTTCCGGCGCAGAAGCTCATTCTGAACCGCGGGAACCTTCGTCTCAATCTTCATAATCAATTTATGCCATCTTAAAAAAATTGGAATCTTGTTAGGTACCCGTACGACAGCTCTAATAATGAGCTAACGTACTCATCTTTAGAGTGGTTTGTGCGCAGGCTCGAGAAGTTGCTGCCCGCTTCAGAAGACCTTAGGGTGCCTTCGATTCCTGGACGACTTTGTTCGTCGTGTACAGGGGACGGGAAGAGACGGCTGTTCGCTGTAGCAAAATTCAACGAACCGACGGGCGTCCCGGACATAGCCTTCAACCCGCAAAGGTTAACTTTGTTGCTGGACAACCACTAGGGTACTATTCTTCCTGGCCCCTCTTCGCCCTATCACATCACATGGTGGTGTGGTATGCGGCAGAACATGTCTATCCTTCCTCCTTCTTCTTTCAGTCGAAACTTCCTCCTAGTGAGGTGTTCGCCTATCCAGGTATGGAAGTATTCAATGAATACACTCTGTACCATGCATGGGTGGATGAAGCTTTATCTGGAGTATCAAAGATGGAATTGTATGCTAAGGCTTAGTGCCAGTATAGAGCTTGAAGTCTTTATGGATGTGCCGATCTTTATCCGTACATATTACCGACCTGCGAACATGGATGATTCGTTCAGGTACGGGATAATATTTAGGATGTACGATTTGGCTGTCCAGTTACAGTGGGGCAATGTCATGAAATTGCTACCAGTAACTAAGACTCAAGTGGAGAAAAAAAAAGCACTCAATTTGAATGTAAGTAAAACACGGGATGGAAGAGGAGGCCTGAACCAACAGGGATGAAACAGTATAGATTCCCCTGGGCGAAGCAAGTCACCGATTAGTAACCTAAGAAAGAGTTGTCAACGGGCGAGTGTCCTGCTATAAGGTAAACTCCTACTATTTCAGCTTCTTTTCCCGTGGTCGAAAGCTAAATATCTCAAGATGATATTTTCCAAACTCTCGACAAGCAGCAAATAGAAAATGAAAAGAAGATTTTGAAGGATCTGATTTCGTCTAAGGAGTGGCGGTTAACAGAAGGCCATTTCAACTTATGCTCTAAAAAGATAGAAAGCATTGTTGATAAAGCCCTCTCTTTATATAAAGAGGGCTTTGCGCCTTCGGATAAAGGAAGATTCCGATATTCGCATAGGTATTGAAGCGGGGATCTGAACAGCTAGCTTCCCCTCAAATGGGAGCCGTTTAAGTAATCTTAAAAGAGTCCTCGACTGTATTGGAAAAACAAAAAGTTCAATATGGCGGGAGATCTATAATTTTATTGAGAGCTTTCAATCAAATTAGATTGTAAAGTAGTAGTCCTGTGTAAAAAAAAAGCTAGTGGGGCGGGGTCCAAGCAAGCGTAATAAGGGGAGGGGGACTAGGGTGGAAGGGTCGTCGAAGGAGATGCATTTCTGGTACAAGTGGTATTGGACAAGATCTCAGGGAATCATCTCTTTCAGATTTCTGCCTTTCTTTCCCATGACGACTAGGAAAAGGCAAATAAAAAATTTTACTTCGAATTTTGGACCTCAACATCCTGCTGCTCATGGTGTTTCACGATTAGTATTGGAAATGAACGGAGAAGTGGTGGAACGTGCGGAACCACATATTGGATCACTCCAGTGCGGCACGAAGCCGCTGACGCCGAGTCGGCTCCTATGCCGCTAGCTATGCCCTGCTTGGTCCCCCGGCACGGTGGAGGTTCCGTAGCGGGTCATGAGCACCGGGCTAAGGGGCGAAGTCACTCGACTGAAAGAAAAGAGAGGGGCGGTTGAGCAACTCAAGCGAACCGCCCTACCTTACTACAACATAGGGACAGAGGGGAGAAGGTTGTGAAGGTGGCCTCGTTATCCACACCTCTGGTCGGATGAATGGAGGACCGCCCGACCCGGGTTTCATGAGCGTTGGCGGGTCCTGGAGTGCCTGTCAAGGGCGCTAGCGCATACCCCGGGGTGATCATCATCACCTGCACCTCACATCTCGGCGTAGTGGAACGTGTAACCCGCCTGCTGTCTCATTCAACTACATTTGTTACTGTAATCTATAGCCTAACAGAAGGCAGCGTCGAGGGGCTTTAGGAACTCGACTGAAAGGAGAGGAGAGAAATTCCCATACAGCCAGCGGGGAGGATGGCACTACAGGCAAAGACCGTCTGGCGAAAACGCCGCAGGCGCGAAGCGTGGTAGGCCTGCGCCGGGTGAGCATAGGGGGGAAAGGGATCCCGGACGGTGGAAGAGCCAGGGGAGGCCGGGTCATTTGACGGAAATGGAAGGCTTTTACCCTTTTATAGAAAGCCCTATGAAGTTAAGGGAAGTGAATGAATTCTTGGAAAAAGAAGGAGCGAGCCTATATATAAAATGTAAGAAAGTCAATTATTCAATGAATAGATGATAAAGTCAACCGTACGACAGACAGCGCTGCCTACACGCGAATTAGCTTCCAAGGTCGAGCAGTCTCAATTTCACTACAGGATTTGCGAATGAATGCTGGGCTGGGCCACCTCGAATGGCGTGAGCCGCATGCGGGGAGACCCGCACGTACGGTTTTTAGGGGGATCTGGCCGAAAGACCGGCCGGCGCCCACCCGACTAGAGGGACTGAGAAATTAATAGAGTACAAAACTTATCTTCAAGCTTTACCTTATTCTGATCGTTCAGAGGGCGATCGCGGAGTCACTGAATGAAGTCCTCCGTTTCTTTCGGAGGTGCTGACCCGCAGCGAGGCAGAGATGACTAAGTGACATATGGAATATGGCGACAACAACAGCATGTCGTAGAAGGAGAGAACAGGTGGAGCTAACGACCCACGTTGACTAACGTATCTACAACTACATCCCCGAGCGGCAGTCAAACGGAGGCGTGAATGCAAGATGCCAGCGGAATGATCGGCCGGACAGAGGCTAGGGCTGCTTCCTTCCCACCGCGTCCTTCCTTGTGTATCGGAGATATAAAGCGAGTGCACCGGAAAAGAACGGGAACTGGGTCGATCTATTGCGAAGCATCCGAAGCATAACTGCACACTCACACGATCTTTGCCGAGAGATAGGAGCATTCGGTGGAACCGGTGAACTACACTTGCTTCTGGATAGATGTGTGGGACAGAGGGCTCGTGGTACCTTCTGCCCACCCTTCCTCCTCTGCTTTGAGAACTGTGTGAACGGAGAGTGGGCAGAAGGGAAGGAGGTCCTCATACAGAGAAAATCATGGAATGGGTCGAGATAGATGACAGCGCCTTTTTCCTCTCTTCCTTGCCGGGAGGGCAATCTTCTCTTATGGTCTTCACCTCCCGCCCGGCCTGGAAATTGAATCCAGCCCCCTTCTTTCTGATCCATTCATTTCTGCAAGCCCAGAGCGTTGCCTCCCTTCTATTGCATAACCTAAAAAGCTATAAGCAAAGTACCAAAAGCGCGCTCCGCCCGGTGACTAAGAAAGAGGTTTGCGCAACAATTAAAGTGATGAGGTCGAGGGAAGTAGGGCTCCTATTGAAAGGCTTTCCCTCCCTCAAAAGAAGACTAGCTTTCAATACTAGTTCTTACGTTACGCTGCCATTTTTCCAATATCATTGAATAGCATGGCCTGGGGCTAAAGTAACTCAAGTGGGAGAGCCGTGTTATGGGTGACCTTATTGCACGGTTCAGAGAGCACTTGTGTATGTGATGCAAGTGAACGTGTACGAAAAAGCTGTCGTAAAGTTTCGTTTTTCGTTCCGTTTTCGACCCTATCTATGTTTCTATGATGGCCCAAGAACACGCTCATTCTTCAGCTGTAGAGAAACTTTTGAATTGCGAGGTACCATTACGAGCTCAATATATACGAGTGTTATTCCGTGAAATAACTCGAATTTCAAATCATTCACTTGCTTTAACTACTCATGCTATGGATGTGGGAGCATTAACTCCGTTCCTGTGGGCTTTTGAGGAGCGGGAGAAATTGTTGGAATTCTATGAAAGAGTCTCGGGAGCCAGGATGCATGCCAGTTTC